TCCCCTTCAGAGTTATTAACACTACTCAATAGGTATCTCTAAGTACTTTTTGGCTTAAATCATCATATGAAAAGTTCTGAGCAGAACTGGGAAATGTTTGTGTTTGACAGTTCCATAAGAACAGGCACCTTTATCCCCTGGGACGAGCACCTGCTGAATGCCAAACATCCACACAACATTAACAGAACAAACTCTAGGAATCCCAAGTGAAGTCTGAACATTTAAAACTTTAGCAGCCCAAAAAAAACACACAGCTCTTTAACAAATCCACCTCTACTGGCTCTGGTCTAATGAAGGATGTTTTATAAACCTCTGCAATTAAATAAGAAACCATAATATCATACAAAAATATTAAGAAATATACCAACCAACCTTTTAGACATATCTACAGCAAATATTTCAAAGCATGATAAGCACACAGAATGGTGCAATTAAATAAGCTCTTTTGCTGTGAATAAACAAAAATATATATAAAATAAAAAAACCTCGTGAATTGACATTTCATGAAGACTTCGACCTGTACACATATACACACAACACTTATAAATATATACAAGAGAACAAAATTTAACATTTTTATGTGAATAGCAAAACTATATGCAAAGTATCAATTTAAGACCATGACACAGAAGGACTTTTTCACAAGTCCTTACTTGTGGCATTACCTACAGGACTGCAGACAACTGGCCAGCCAAGATATTTGTACACCAAAGATGGGAATTAGTAAAAAAAATACAATTAGTGGCATCAAGAGTAACTTGCTCAAAACATTAAACCAAAATGTATAATGTAATTTGTCTGTCATTTGATGTGAATGAAAAACAAACCCCACATTTAAAACATGGCAGCAATAAAAAAATAGGACTCGTAAAGTTATTAATATAACATGGTTTCAAAAGGTGAAAGAGGAATTTAACTGCACTTAGGCATAAGTGAAAATATTTCCCCAAACAATATTATGCAGTATTTTTTAAAAGTCATTCTTTGAAATAATTCAAATATAACAACTTTAATCTTGCACTAAAAAAACCTTCCTCTTAAAAAGATTGTCATTTTTTTCCCAATATTAAAGAAGAAATAAACCAGAAAATGCCCCAATTAAAATACCATATGTAAGAAGACCTGTGATAACTCTCCAAAACAGATAACCAGAAGATGCATTGACAGTAGTAAGAGCAGAAATTCTGAAATATTACTGAACCTTTGAAAAATGTAGCAGAATTCTAAATAAGCTTCCTTATAGGAAAGACAAAATGCAGCACTGTTTTTATGTTCTTATGTATTTTTCCATCTCTTCTATTTTCAAGAGGAGCGGCAAAGTATATAGAGCAACAGTAAGAGCTTTTTACTTTATAATACTTTTCTGCATTTTTATTTTTCCATATCTTATTACAAAGATTCAAGACATAATTCTACAAAAAGATTGGTGACTTCTGGTGAAAGAATCTGGAACAGTAATAACACAGAATTTCTTTGACTACAAGATAAAATAAGGGCAGATCAGGCTGTGCAGAACACAGACACAAACCCCAGGAGCTGTTCTATAAAAGATATAGAAAAAAATCTTTACAAACTTAACCCCACAGAAGATACTGAATACTTATACTAAGTTGAGTTGTCAATACTGCCATTATAGTTTTTTGTAATAGTAAAAAGATGCACACATAAATAAATTTAACATTATAATAGGCATTTATATATATACATATATATATCTAACTGCCTTCTTGCTAATTTGGAAGGAATGCTACGTAATTTTAACATCTTTTATCAATGTTTATGGAAACCCAAGACTACTTTTATCCACAAATGCTCAGCCTCCTCCAAATGGCTACCTTAAACTCTCTAATGCAATTACCAGACCTCTTAAAGTGAAGAAGCTGACACTCTCCCAAGCGTGAAACCAGCCAAATGCTAAACACCTGTAAATTCTGGAAACACAGATCCTGAACTAATTTTGGCATTCCTATACTATGTCTCTGGTTTCAAGTCCAAATGAAGTTAAAGTGGAAGACAGCATGAGCATGCCAAATGAGTATGACCTTTTACAAACCACGAGAAAAGGTACTTAATTTGGAGCAGAAAATATCTACTGACATTAGAGGAAACAAAAGAGTTAACTAGGTATAACAGATTACTTATATTACTCAGGCATCTATTGATCCCCCCTCTAAATTTTTTTGTTTAATTCCTACAAAATCTGAATCTCAGAATTTAAGGGGTTGGAATGGATGTTACAGAACATCTAGTCCCAACCTCCTGCCATGGACAGGGACACCTCCCACCAGACCAGATTGCTCAAGGCCTCATCCAGTCTGGCCTTGAACACTGCCAGGGATGGGGAAAACCATGACAAGGAGATAAAAGAAACTGAATAATGTTTTATCTTCAAATTCCATCTCATCTGTAACAACATTCTATTAACAAACTAAAAAATTCCATTAAACACAATTCATCAAAATCATTTTCTGGCATTTAAGCAGAATGAGACGATTAAACGAGCACAGTATTTTGTCTGTTTGAAGTCTTCTGCAATGTTCTGCAGTGCACACACAAGGACAGTTACTTTGAGGGGAGCTGTGATCCATAAGGCTGGGTTAATGAAGCTTCCTTGAATCACTAACAAAGCATTAGCACAAGCATCCCTTTTTATAGACTAGCAATCCATTACTATTAGCAAACAAGTTGCATAGTCTTCATCCACTCATACAGCTGCTTACTACATCAAGATTCTTGTTACCATACAGTTACCCAGCATCAAGAAAGCAATGTGACATAGTAACAACAGGATTATTTTCTTCCTCAATTAACCTTACTTAGCACTTAGGAAATCTATAGATATAGATATAGATATATAAAAAATAGATTGTAAGATTTATTTTTTAAAAACAAAGCCACTGAATTCATATTGACCATACATTTCCCTTTAACTCCAGTACAGCAGACCCAGTATCAAGATCAAAAAACAAAAGCAAAAAGAAATGAAAAGTAAACCACAATAACACATAATTCAATCAAACTGTGCCATGATTCCATCAAAAATCCAACAAGTTCAGGATCCCTTAACTGAGGCATCCAAAAGTTTACGACAGCACTACACATCCACCACTGCCTAATTAACAATTAAAACTTTATTTTAATCTTACAAGTACTTTGCTGTGCTTTCTCCAACTATACTGGTCAAAACATCCTTTACTACTCAAGCATGTAAAGGATCTAGAGTTACAATTAATTTGAGATGTTACCTTGCAAGTATTAAGGACCATAGGAAAAATCAAACTCATGCTGCCCACTGAAAACTACAAAAAATAATTATGAAGATCTCACAAAATTATTTCAAATTAGATAAAAATCAGAAACCCACACTTTACTCTCAGTTGCAAAGAATGATAACAGGACAGTATAAGAAAACACAACTATTTGCTACAACTGTCTATGTGCAGCCTTGATTATAATGCTTCCTAAACCTAATCATTGAGAAAAACTACTTAACTAAATCCCTAAAGCTCTGAAGGTACATAAGACTTCAGCTTTCCTTTCTTTCTTTCTTAGAAACTAAACAGTAATATATTGTATTATACTTCATATTTTATTACATAAACCAACAAAGATTTGATTATCAGAATGCTGTTTTTTAATTTCAAAAACTTTGTGAAACAATTTGTTTATACAAATGTTCATTGACCAAGCTAAGGAACTCAGTTTATAGGCGTTATAATTAAACACTTCATTTCACATACAATCATTTGCTCCTGTAAGTAAGGGAAATGTAAATACCAATAGTGATACAAGCCTAAAATGACATATAGAAACTCACACTGCAAGCAGTTAAGACTATTTTCAAAGTAATAAAATATGCTGATTTAAATATATTTTAAACATAAATATTTGGCTACCCAATATACAGAAATATCCCCTTATATTTTTCATATTCATTTGCATTTAAAAAATATATCTACAACAAAAAGTTTTACATATATTTAAATTAGAGTGCAATATTACACCAACATTGTTCTGCTGCCCTTAGTTTTTGATCGTTAAAAATACTTTTACCATCCTAGAAGAGCAGCAAGAACATTATCAAACATTCAGGATGTACATATGAGCAGGACACCCCAAAATCTCCTATGGTAAGCACTGGCACAAAAAAACCCTTCACAATATGTGTAACAAAGAGTGGGAATTAATGTTTCCAAGAAGATTATCAAATATTAAGCCACAGAAGAAATATTTTTTTTATCTGCTCACTGACAGGCTAGTGTTGCAAATATATGCCTGGTTCTGCTTGGCAACACTTTGTTAATACTCTGTCATTAATTTAACAAACTATCAAGAGAGTATGTTTAGAATGGGCAAGCATTATCTCTTGCATTTCATTTAATTAAACTCTGTTCTAGCAATGTGACAGTCAGCATTTCATGAAGGGAATTATTTTAAGGGTGAAGGTAGAAAATATTTCAAAGTACCCTGCTAAAACATGAAAGCATAATCTAAAATTACCCCTGCACATACTGTAATTTATCTATAAAATTAAAGATGCTATTTCCAGCG